TTATTATTATTATTATTATTATTATTATTATTATTATTATTATTATTATTATTATTTTCCATTGTACTGGTTTGAGTAATGAAGCATGACCCCGAAGTGTTTCCACTTCTGATCTTAGCTTAGTCGTGAGCTTATTGGGTTACCTTATGCAAGTTTCTGTATTTCTGCTTCTGACTCATATTGCAAAGTGACTCATATTTGCAAATTTACTGCAAGGATTAATTGACAGTAATCCTTGCAGTAAATGACCAAACGAAGTCTATTAAGATCAGATCAAATGTGCTCACAATGAAAACTATTTCAGAGAGGACATAAACCATATGATTATATTACAACAACAGGCATTGACTGAATTCAGATATCCATCTTAGATGGCCAACCAACCAAGCAGATAGGCAGATATGTATGAATGTGTATGAAAAAGAAGACAGGCAGGCATTCCTACGTCCATAGATCTCATCTAACCTGCCTTTGCACTTCCCAATTTCTCCATAATGTCTGAAGGGGAACTGTAATTGTCTATCTGAAAATGGATACTCTTCATGCATTCTAAGACTCTGAGTTACAGATCATGGACATTTTTTTTCCAAACCGTTGGGGCCAACATGCACAGTCTAATTTCTGAACAGCTTCAGCTCACAAATTGTGAAGGATGGCCAAAATAAGATATCAATCTCCAATTTTAAGTTGATTTGCAAAACAATTTGCACAGCCAATTTTCATAGCAATGCCAGTTGTAATAAAGGTAATATGTAGATGCAGCTAAGTTGACATATTTAATTAGGGGAGAAAAGTATGTAGGATCCTAGGCCAGATCAGAACCTCTGAGCATAAGATTCAAGGGGAGGCTGAAATCTTTCCTTTAGTCACTTTGTTGCTGAATCCTCCATGGACAGAGAAGTTACAAAAAGGAAAGGATAACTGGAATGGGGAGGGGTGTGTTTGTTATGTGTGGGTTCTCTGAACTGAAAAGACAAAACGACAGCACACAAGTGCTGCCTTGTGAAACATGTCAAATTTCTCTTTATTTACAACATTGCCTGATAGAAAAATGTTCATTTCTCAGAGCAACTGACTTTTACAGGTAGACAGCTCTGTATTTGTTTAAACAAACAAAATTTTTCTGATTCCCCCTCCCTTCTTCTACTAGCATCTGCCACAAAGAGATTGGAATATAATAAAAGCAATACTGTAAATTACTTTCTGACTCTAATTGCTCTGCCATTCAGCAATTAACCTTTTCTAGTTTCAGGTTCACCCGGGAACCTGCAGATCTTCAGCAGCCCAAACTGCGTAAATCCTGCTGGTTGCTAGTCATCCTCTCCTTCTCCAACCACAGGTTCTTTCCTGTCTGCTCCTTAGCTCAATTCTACTTCCTCCCCAATCTCTTGTGAGATCCTGTGTGTGTGTAAACCCCATATCTGTTTCACTTGCAGACTCAGCAACAGCAGTGTTTCTCAGCCTCAGCAACTTTAAGATGCATAGACTTCTCCTGGCTGGGGAATTCTGGAAGCTGAAGTCCACACATCTTAAAGTTACTGCGGCTGAGAAACACTGAGCTACAGGTAAAGTTTGTATGTTTTGGAGATCACACGGCAGACAGAATTTACTGGTTCCATTCTGTCACAATATTGATTAACTTTGTTGATTTTTAAATCTCTCTGAATAGGAAATAAAGTGGTTAGAGAGATAGATTGTCTGGATTTACATGCAGTGTAAATCTGATCTGCATTATTGTATTTAAAAACTTTATAGTCAGCTACACACTACAATTGAAAAACAGCAGTTATGGCCAGTACTTTATAGCTGTTTCAACATGAAAAGGCAAAATAACTTGTTTGCACTTAAGGAGCTAAATGCTGAGCACATGGAGAAAGGAAGCAGAGAAACATCTAATTGTACATTTAGCAATCCAAGCAGTGTCAGAACCATAATTTGGTGTGATGCCTGAATAATGCTGTCATCTTTCATTTGAGGAGTGAAAGGAGGCATGTGATAACAGTGCAGATTAAGGCAAGCTGTGTTAGACAGCAGCAAAGTACTGTAGCCATAATAATAGCTCAACTACAGATCTATCTCAATAAGGAATGTTGTCCACAAAAGAAAGCATTCAGGTGCTGGCCTTAGTTTTCGCCAAGTAGCCCATGTACACCTCTTATCACTCCCTCACAAAATTATATACAACATTGAGATATCTTGGAAGTATAGATTTCTCTATGTAGAGTGATAGATATACATGACCAGTTTGCCAACCCATGCATGAAGTGGGTTTTTTGGTTTCGTTTGGTTTGGTTTTTTGGTTCCTTTGAATCAGTGTTGACTCCTGGCAACTACCTGGATTAGTCCCTGCAGTAT